GGAAAAAAAACTAATGCTCAACTAACAATAAATATCCAAATGTAAAGAAGGTTGATTTTTGTTTCGCTAAAAAGAGGCAAAATATAGCAAACTTATTTTTTTTCATAAATAAATCAACTACCATAATCAATACAACTTTTCCAGCTCTTATTAGAAATAGATTCCTCATTCTCTCCACATATATACAAAGCACATGTACAATTCTTTATAATCTGCATATACCAGTACGTATATAAGATACGTAACAAACTCAATTTACTTGTGTTCAATACTCAATGTTTATATAATATGACACATTACCGCTACCTCTTCTAGGGCAAGGTCGATGTGATGATTAATGGAGTACACTTTGCTAATGAATAACAATTAAACCAATTAGGGCCGGTAACATCGCTCTATACATCATCAACGATGGACCGTAAGCCTGACATCACCAAAACATTGTCCTCTTGAACGAAGGAAGGAAATCAATAGAGGGAATGGAGTGCGGTGTATTTGGTCCATGCTATTCGGGCGAGGAGCAGAGGCATTAAGGTGCATCGCACTCAGTAGGCCTCGGGTCTTCTCTGTCTCTTTCTCGCCTCTCGTTTCTTCTGTTCTTTCTTTTTCTTTTTCGCTCTCTCTCTCTCTTTCTCTCGCATTTTCTTCCACTCTTCCTTTTTTTTCTTCTTCTCCTTCTCCTTCACTTACTTCACTATCTTTTACCCTATATCTATCACTAAAAATATATATCCATGCATATATCGATCTATCTCTTTACCCATTCATCAGTCACCTTTTCTTCTGTCTACCGATCCACTCAGCCTCGCCATTTGAAACCTTCCACTATCTAATAGGAAAACATAAGCACACAAAACAATAACGAAAAAAAAGACGAGCATTCGTCATTTCCTCCATAGGATTTCCAAGCCTATCTAAGAAATCAGGGCAAGAGATTGACGAGGTACCTTATCAAGATCAAATCAGGGCTCATCACGAGGAGCCCCAGAATCTTGGAATGGAAGTGTATTGGGGGGAGGAGGAGGGATTAGAGGGGAAGGGGGAGGGGGAGAGGAGGGTGGGAAGGGGTGAGGTGGGGGGAGGAAGGGGAGGGCTGATGAGGTCTTCGGAAATACGGTTTCCTTTCCTTTTTTGGTGAGGGCGTGTAATGAGTTAGGAATCGTAAAAACACTAAGGGCATGGGGGTTGCTTGCATTCACGGTTTTGCTTATTTACAGCATGGGTTTGGAAGAACCTCAACATAGGGAGACACAAAGAAAACATGGGAAGTGAAGGGAACAGGTATTGTGTTTGAAGATGGAGAAAGAAAGGGAGGAGAGGTGAGATTGAGGTAATACTGGAGAGGCAATTAATCACATTATATCGAATAATCGCATCAAGTGTCTTTACTTCAAATCGTTTTGCTATAATTGAGACGAAGATGGTAATGAGATGGTGATATTTCCGAAACCAACCTCTAGCGCAATAAGTGTAATCGCCAGACCTAAATAAAGCTTTTTTTCTCTATCTATGTTTTGCTCTCTCTCTCTCTCTCTCTCTCTCTCTCTCTCTCTCTCTCTCTCTCTCTCTCTCTCTCTCTCTCTCTCTCTCTCTCCATTTACCTATCTATCCATCTCCTACTCTTTGCAAACATATACGAAAAAGACATCTGTCGCACCAAAAGTTTCTTTCTCTCTTTCCCTCTCTCCTTTCTTCGTCCATCTCGTTGTCCTAGTACGTGCTGTCTTGCCAGGATTCCCCGCAAGGCCGAAGAAAGATACAGAAAAGGTTTCCGATTGAGGCATTTTCTGAATCTCTCTGCCTCTCTATTAATCTATTTGTATCCATCCCAAACGGGTCTACGGCAAGATTTTTCCAATTTCTTATATCCCGTATTCTTTTCTTTTAAACTTTGTCATAAATCATATTACGGTAAATTCACTAACAAACCTAGAGACAACGATTCAATTTTTTTTTAGTACAAGACCCCAGCTAAATATACACAAAGCCTCGCGTCCTTCCCAAGCACCCATGCCTACACAAGGACTCAAAACCGCCCACATATTCATATAACTCTCGGAGTCCTTTTAGGAACGATTCATGCATGCACCACCGAGCGCCTTCCCCGGCCGGCAGATCAGCTGAATGAACGTGGGAAAAGTTCATGGAAAAGGGTTAAACATAAATGAGAAGAGATATATCAAGCACGATCATGCTGATTGCGAGATGTTGTGAGAAATTGCGAGATTGTCTGAAATCAAATGAAGCGAAGGGAATGAAGATTCTTTTTTTTAACGTGTCTGGAAGGGGAATTGTGAGGCGGAAGGTGAGAGCTCGACGACAGCGGACGTGTTCTAAGTATTAAGGATGTGAGATGGGTGTGACTGCAAAAGTAGGCGTGGTGGTGGTGGTAGGGGGGGGGGGCGAGTGTGTGACGAGGACGTAAATCTTACAGATGCCAACACTCGGATGGGAGTCACGTTCGGCAAGGAAAATGACATGCTGGTGTCTCCGGTTACTCGCAGTTGAGTTGCGTCACTCGGCGAACATGAAAGCAATGGAAGGAGATGAAACAGTTTCATGCTTATATTTCTCCCTTTGTCTCTCTCTCTCTCTCTATCTCTCTATCTATCTATCTATCTGTCTATCTATCTATCTTTCTCTCTCTCTCTCTCTCTCTCTCTCTCTCTCTCTCTCTCTCTCTCTCTCTCTCTCTCTCTCTCTCTCTCTCTCTCTCTCTCTCTCTCTCTCTCTTTCTCTCTCCATCCTCTCTATAGTTCTACGCCTATTAGTATTTTCATCTCTCTCTGTCTCTGTCTTTGTCTCTCTTCCTCTCTATCTGTCTATCTCTCTCTCTCTCTCTCTCTCTCTCTCTCTCTCTCTCTCTCTCTCTCTCTCTCTCTCTCTCTCTCTCTCTCTCTCTCTCTCTCTTTCATAAACATACCGTTTCTCTTTCCTTTCTAGCGGACTGTCATTATTAATATTATATTACATGCAAAAACGACCCACAGAATATATTTCTTTAATTAAGTTTAATTAAAGAGCTTTAAGTATTTATAGACATTTCATGACATGCATACGTAAAAAAAAAAAAGTTTGGAAACTAAAAGCTAGTCGAAAATGTTTTTGTTTGCTTTGCCTTTTTACTACCTTCATGGCAATATTCGATATGTTTTTACAGAAAAAAATAAACTACCAAAGTGTTTTAGAAACAAAAATACAGATTTAGCGCATGGAGATTTTTTCCATTCACTTTTTTACCTGGAGATATCCCATAGGCCTCTGTATTCCGTACTCTCCATCTATCCATCAATCTCATCAATCTCCATCTATCCTTCTCTCCTCTCTATCTCTCTATCTCTCTCTTTCTTTCTTTCCTTCCTTCCTTCCCTCCCTCCTTCCTTCCTTCCCTTCCTCTCAACCTCCCTTCCTCTCTCTCTCTCTCTCTCTCTCTCTCTCTCTCTCTCTCTCTCTTCTCTCTCTCTCTCTCTCTCTCTCTCTCCCTCTCTCTCTCACTCCTTCCCTCCCTCCCTCCATTCCTCTCTCTTTCTCTTTATCTCTCTCTCTCTCTCTCTCTCTCTCTCTCTCTCTCTCTCTCTCTCTCTCTCTATCCATCCCTCCTTCTCTCCCTCTCTTTCTTTCTCTATCTATCATTCAGTGAAAGTAAGACAAAAAGAAGTAAAGAAACCGAATCATCTACATGCACCGTAAGGCAAAATGGCAGCTTATGTATCTCGGGAAAAGCGTTAAGTTCGTTAGGGAAGGAGACATCTTGTTAGAGCACTCGCGTTAATGGTCTGAGAGAGATATCCTGGTAGCGAGGGTTGGTGGTGGTTGTGTGCGTGTATGTGTATGGTTGGGAATGCTCATGTAGGCGTGTATTAGGGTGTTTGGTTGGGTATGGTCGTGGGGGTGTGGGGGTGTATTAGGGTGCGTGTATGTGTTTGTGTGTGTGGTTGGGAATCTTTGTGTGTGTGTGTGTTCAAGCGCACATGTGACTGCGTTCTTATCCACGCGTTCTTATACATTTCCAAATACTATTTCAGTTTAGCATATACTTAACTAAATATACCAATAAATATATGCACCAACCCATCTCTTTCAAAGTCCTAGTCTAATTCTCGTCTAGACATAAACACAAACACGTTCTTGGACCGGCATTTTATCCTTTTGCCTTCCTCCCTTTTTTTTCTTTTCTTTTTCTTTTTTTTTTCTTCTTCGACACGGTTCATCGCCTTGTTTTCCCCCTCGGTCTCCATGCTAGGCCTCGCTTACAGCTTGTAAAGAAAGAGTGCATTCGCTGGAGATATTTTTACAGGCCATGTTCGGATTTCTCTCCCTCTCTCTCCGAGTTGTTTGTTAGTGTGTCTTTCTCTACCTCTTTCTTTCTCATTTCATCTTTCTATCGATCTACCATTATCTTTCCATCTGTTCGTCTCGCTCTCTCTCTCTCTCTCTCTCTCTCTCTCTCTCTCTCTCTCTCTCTCTCTCTCTCTCTCTCTCTCTCTCTCTCTCTCTCTCTCTCGTATCTATTTTCTTTATGCAAATACGGACTGCGAAAATATCCTCACCTAGCCTCATCACGGACGTAAAAATAACTCCCAGAACAACAAAACTCCAAGTAAAGACAAACAAAAGCAAGGGGAGGAGAGTGAGAGGGGGAAAAAAAGTTTAAGCTTTGTAAAAGTTAGGTGGTAAAACGCCAGCATTGCCCAGCGTGGCAGCGTAGTTCTAACTCCCAGACGTTCAGCACAGCACTTCAGCATCAGAGTTTGAGAGTTTATGACACTGAGTTGTTAAAGGGTGGACACGATAGATGATTATTACCTTGTAGATTCTTTTCCTTACGATCTCTATCTGTAGGTATTTTTACTTTTTAATTCCGGATGACAATATTCTCATAGACAATAAGAAAAATTAATTTCATATTGTAGTTCTCCACAATAATTTATCTTTATACAAAGAATGAAACATACCATGTAAGCCTAAGAACACATTCCGTCATCGGCTTATAGTGTGGCTTCTCCAGTAATTTTTCTAAATCGTTTTTCTTTCTCTCCACAGACCACCCCCGAGAGGACCACTCCTCCACAGCAAGAAAACACCTCCGCAGGTAAGCAGACTAGGCACTGATCTCGAGAGGGATATAAATATCAAAAGCAGATATGCTTCTCGATGAAAGGAAAAAAATACAAATTACGTTTCCTTTACGGTAGCAGTAATAAACAACAGCAGCAATAACAATAATTGTAATAGAAGTAGTAGCAATAATGATGATGACAATGACAATACTGGAAATGATAATAATTATCATTATTATTATTAGTATTAATATTACTGTTATCATTGATATTATTATCATAATCATTATTATGAACAAAACATCACAACTAAAAATATAAAGACTTATTCACTCCCAAAAGACGATAGTTTTTTCTCACTTAAATGTCTAGTGAATAGGAAATGGTTGCGCAGAGGGAATTGATTTGAGTGAATTCCTCCATCCGTCCATTTGCTGGTCCGGATACGAAGAGGTAGACAACGTAAAGAGCGTCTTTGTAAGGGAAACGTAAAAGGCTGAGGGTCCTGCAGGAGAGAGAGAGAGAGAGAGAATTGGAAGCTGGAAACAGAGGCTTGGAATAAAGCACGCACTCCGCATAAAAGTTCTTGGCGAAAGAGATGTGGGGAAGAAGCACAAAGGCTCCTAGAAGCATGAGAATGAAACGTCTGAAGCCAATTGCATCAACTTACAGCCAAATATGATATAAAACCTTTTACTACTCACATCTATATATATATATTCGAGTCGTCTTCCCTTGAGACATCTCCATCCACCTCTCATCTCTGTCATTTCCATGCAGCCTCAGGTGTTATACAAATTTTGTAGCCAAAATGCCTCGGTGGATTTTGAGGGACTTTTACATATGCTAATTCTGACGCCGAGCTTTTCCTCCAAGGCTCCGGTTTTCTGTAAAGATTGTCATTCCTGTCGCGTCGAGTTTACATGGATGTGTGATAAAGCTAATGTTCTTTTATGCATTCTCTTGTAGCTATTGTGTATAAAAGTCGCATTTTAAGGGGTAAAGAACAATTCAATTTGAAGTTTTGTGTAAAAGGCATACAAGCAAAATGTAAATAATTCATATCAAAATATCCAATGCATTCTTTAAATGTAATTGTCCCACAATACTTCACATAATGCATCAGTTTCTCGCATTCTGCACCCGTGTCGCCTTTCCTCAATCTATTACATTTGGATGTTTGTACTTCCTCCAGAACATATTGTTTACACATTTTCTTATTTCCATTCAAGTCGATGCTCTTGAAGCTCGAGAACTTGAGTCATCCTCGTTTTCTTTCAAGGGCACATTTTCCTTCTCAGTGGGAAAAGGACAAAAGAGACAACTTTGCGACTAAGAAAATTTAGTTTCGAACGTCCTAGAGACACATAGTTGTCACTGGCAATTCCCCAAGCACTAGCGATCGCACGTAAGGGACCTGGCTGCCTTGAATACCAAATCAAGAATACCAAATGCTATCAGTTACATGATATTCCTCCAACTTTTATCCGCTTACGAAATTTAGCTTGGACTCTCCGCATTCGTAATATTCTAGTCGTTATTTCCCAAGAATTTATAGTTAGTATTGGGATACATGCATAAACACAAGAGTAAGTTTAATTCATAGGCGAGATGCATAACACACCACATTTATGCACACGTTTCCTCTTAGACAAGCCAAGCAAGAGATAAGCTACCAGGCTCTAAGTCTGCTAAGCAACACAAGGCCATTATCGGATGCCGGAGTAAATGCATGCAAAGTCAATACCAAATAATTACTAGAAACAGAAAGTGAGGACCAGTTTCTACATTGAATTAATTTCCCGTAGAACTAAAACCGACATTCCTTCGCCATTTCAAGAAATTAATTAAATTATCCTGCGTGAGAGAGGGAGATCAGAATCGATAAGAATTTCATAGACTGTTCTTTGGTTCATTCTTTGTTCGAAAAAAAACCTTCACGTTTATCAATTATATAATAATAACATACGTCTCTGAACTCGGACCTCAAGATCTCCAATATATGAGGGCAGCCATTAATCAGATTAGAGTTTCAAGTCTATCCTTCAGTTAATGGAATATTCATATATAGGGAATGGTTTCTACGATTAGTTTCCTTGATTCACTCGTTCTCTTAGGCACAATCTTTGTTGCAATGCATTTCAATATCTTCTACTTCTCATATGCAGAGGATGATAAATATTAAAGTCAAAACAATGTTGCATTCATACTTACGGCCCAACTTCCACAGTCTTTCTCTTTTTAGTTATCTATCTATTCAACTATTTGTCTATCAGTTTATCTTTATCTATCTTTCTGTTTATGTCTACCAGCTGAAAATAAGTCACATTGTTTCGTTTCAACTGCATACATTGTAGAAACTGAATCCGCCATCCAACATCCCTTGGCTAGTTCCCGTATATACAGAAAATGTGTTGCTATTGAGGGGAGACTAATCCAATGCCCGGTACCAGCCCTGTCGGCTGCCTTCTAAAAGCTTTTATGAACTATGTTATCATTTATTTAGCAGGTTAGGTAGTGGTTTCAGTTCTGATTTAATGATTTAAATGAAATCATATTCATTTCCTCTATTCTAATACAATTTTCTCCCTCCAGCAGATGCACCTCCAGCAAAGCGATTCGACGCATTCACGTAAGTTTCTTTTAACGGAGAAAATACATTGTGGGTAGTGATTGCTTAACTTATAGGTCAATTAGGCTGGCACATGCCAGGGAGGGCGTATAAGTGTGCAGAATTACAGACATGTTAGGATTTTAACTTCTTATATGTCCTGTTACAGCGAGACACCTGTAGCTCCCCTTATTCCTGCTCAACAAGTTGGATAAGCAAGTCATTTGCGTTTTATTTATTTTATTTTATTTCGCTTAAAGTATACCTCCATCTGCTCCCTTTCCCTTCTCTCTCGCCTTCCTAAAGGAAACACATTTCTTTCCTAAATATCCGCTATACATCACCTGAATCATTTTTTCTTTTTACTGACCACGCCTCGTGCTTCATGTGCACGCTGTCTCTGCCTAGTCGACTCTTCCATCCTCCCCATCACCCCCCCATCCCCACCTTCCCTCTTCCCACTACAACGTCCAGGAAACCGGACGTCCCCTCTGCCCCTATCCCCACCCGGCCTCCCCTCTTCCCCTCCCTATCCGACCCTAACCCTTTCCTCTCTCAGATCCGGCAGATGTCAGCTGGAAACTCCATTTTCTTGTCTCAGAGAGATACCTCACAGTCTAGTCACCCAGGCAAACAGGTAATAGGGAGAGTAAAGGGGAAGAGTAGAGAGGAAGACGAGAAGAGGGGGAGGGGATAGCAAGGAACAAGGAGACGGGAGTTGGATGACGCGAGTGCCTCATTAAGGGGATATTGCCTCCAGGATGACATGTTTTTGTGACAGGTCGCCCATTTTGCGGCGATGAGACATCTATATCTGTCATTGGACCCGATAACAAGAGACCGATATTGTCTCGTTGTGACTCGTCCGCAGGGAGAAAGGGGTAGAGGGTGCTCATTAAATAGAGATGTTACCAGTGGTCATGAGTAGGGGTGTATTATTTAAAGTCCAGTAAGACGGGTTGTTGCACATTCTATAACTGCTTTTCTTTGATTGAATAGTTTTACGCATGACTATTCAAACAGGAAGTCTCCTGATCAATCGGATTATTTATTCATTGATACCTTTTAAGAACAACAAAAAGATTAAAGAAAAACATATGATTAAAATTATATATATCATCAAAGAAATGCCCATTAGTTTTCCGTAAATTTAAGAATTCAAATGTCTGTTTTTACATTTCAGTGTATTATTTACCTAATTTGTATTTTTCGTCCAATTCACAGCACTGGTTTCGGACACAGCAAACGCAACATGAATGAAATTGACAGACCTGCCTTTGGAGTCAACAAGAAGAACTTTGATGAGATCGACCGCGCCGGCATGGGCTTCGCCAAGCGCAACTTCGACGAAATCGACCGTGCCGGAATGGGCTTCGCCAAGCGTAACTTTGATGAGATCGACCGAGCTGGAATGGGCTTTGCCAAACGCAACTTCGACGAAATCGACCGTGCTGGAATGGGATTCGCCAAGCGCAACTTTGATGAGATCGACCGCGCCGGTATGGGCTTCGCCAAGCGCAACTTTGATGAGATCGACCGCGCCGGTATGGGCTTCGCCAAGCGCAACTTTGATGAGATCGACCGAGCTGGTATGGGCTTCGCTAAGCGTAACTTTGACGAAATCGACCGAGCTGGTATGGGCTTCGCCAAGCGCAACTTTGATGAGATCGACCGCGCCGGTATGGGCTTCGCCAAGCGTAACTTTGATGAGATCGACCGAGCTGGTATGGGCTTCGCTAAGCGTAACTTTGACGAAATCGACCGCGCCGGTATGGGCTTCGCCAAGCGCAACTTTGATGAAATCGACCGCGCCGGTATGGGCTTCGCCAAGCGTAACTTTGACGAAATTGACCGAGCTGGTATGGGCTTCGCTAAGCGCAACTTTGATGAAATTGACCGCGCCGGCATGGGCTTCGCTAAGCGCAACTTTGACGAAATCGACCGCGCCGGTATGGGCTTCGCTAAGCGCAACTTTGACGAAATTGACCGAGCTGGTATGGGCTTCGCTAAGCGCAACTTCGACGAAATCGACCGCGCCGGCATGGGCTTCGCTAAGCGCAACTTCGACGAAATCGACCGAGCTGGTATGGGCTTCGCCAAGCGCAACTTCGACGAAATCGACCGAGCTGGTATGGGCTTCGCTAAGCGCAACTTTGATGAGATCGACCGCGCCGGTATGGGCTTCGCTAAGCGCAATTTCGACGAAATCGACAGAGCTGGCTTCGGGTTCCTCAAGAGAGCCTTCCTGCCCAGGGGTAACCTCCTCAAGCGTAACTTCGATGAAATTGACCGAGCCGGGCTTGGTTTTAACCGACGTAGCTCGAACTAAACCATACATCCTCATTGAAAATCATCCGTGTATGGCCAGTATGAACTTTTGAGAGTTTTTATTGATTAGCTTCTCACTCTCTTCAGTGAGACAAGAGTTGCACTTCATCATATTTCGTGGGTAGTCAACAGGCAATATAACATTACATAAAATTGATAAAGAAATCTTCTCGTTTGTCCCCCTTCCTCTCACTGTGAGAGAGGTTCTTGCAACGATATCTTTGGTATCCTCAAGAGAGGAAAAGCGACCTCTGAGATCCTTCTCCAGCTGACGTTGCTCTTGGATGGCTGGGAATGTCAAAGAAGGAATAAAGAGTATTTTTCTTAAATAGCCTTTTCTTTCCATCTGCTTCATATGTCTGCATTTGTTAGAATGATTCTTCTGTTGCATTGCAATGAGAAGCAATCATGTATGTATGAGAATTCTTAGACACCCGAAGAGTTGGATGTTGCATAAATGGAAAAGAAAATACACATACATATATCACTAAACAGCTTTATGTTTCTTAGATATAAAGCAGTTGATTCTCATGGCGGAAATGGTACTTGCAAATGTCTAAGAATTCTTAAGCTGGGGATCTTGGAGGTTTTGAGAAATTAGTGTCTAAATCGTTCTTTAGATCTATGCCCTAACGATGTATAAGCAGCTTCGCTTTGCAATTGTCTTAAGAATCAAAACAATAAAGTTATCGAAGTTGATGAGAAAAATGTTTAATTATATAATCATAATGCTAAGAAAACAAAAGCAAGACAGATTTTTACAAGGTATTGTAATAAGCTTCTCAAAGGTCAACAACAAAATGGAATGAACTCAACTTTTGCAAAGAAGTCGTTTGTTAAAGGTTTAGAAAGTCCATAAGTCATGAAAAGACAAACAAACTCTGAATAAGAGTCCCAGTGCTTAATATAAGTATGCAAATATGTGCCACCTCGCGTACATGAAAGCAAACTAACTAACAGATATCTGTATGTGCTTAGGTGTGGTGGAAACACATGTATTTTCCCATGCTTCATGAAACTTTGATTAGCATAAAGACAATCCAGACCCGCCAAGACGATTACCATAATGGTTCAACCATACCAAAACACCACTGCGAACTCAGAACGACTTCGGTGAAAAATATAATGCATCTCAGACTCTTTCGTGATTGGTCACTGAGACAAAGGACGTAATTGAGGATTCAGAATGATATATGGAGACTCTAAGAATCCCCGAGAGTAACAGGATTTAAATGAGGGATTGAGGTGTGGATATTGTGTGTAGTGCGAGTGTTTAGATGTGTACGTGAATTCATGTGTACGTTTGTATGTATGTGTATTTGTACTTGAATCTGTGTGTTTACTTGTGTGCATTTAATTTTAAAAGTATATTACCGTTTCTTTCACTGCCTTTCTTATAACTTCTCATTTTATCTGAACTTTACTTTTGTCTTCCCTTCCTTACACTGCCGAGAAATTCCTGCTATTATATTTTGCTTTTTATATATCAAATATTCCACTGGTATTTCTTTTGTTCCTTCTTCTCTCTCTCTTGCTCCCTCTCCCTTTCCCTTTCTCTCTCTCCCTCTCCCTCTCCCTGTCCCTTTCCCTCTCTCTCCTCTCTCTCTCCTTCCCCCCCTCCCTCTCTCTCTCTCTCCTTCCCCCCCTCCCTCTCTCTCTCTCCCTCTCCCTCTCTCTCTCTCCCTCTTCCTCTCCCCCCACCCTCTCTCTCTCTCTCTCTCCTCTCTCTCTCTTTCTCTCTCTCTCTCTCTTTCTCTCTTTCTCCCTCTCTCTGCCTCTTTTTCTCTCTCCCTCCCCCCCCTCTCTCTCTCTCTCTCAATCTCTCTCTCTCTCTCTCTCTCCCTCTCTCTGCCTCTTTTTCTCTCTCCTCCCCCCCCCCCCTCTCTCTCTCTCTCAATCTCTCTCTCTCTCTCTCTCTCTCCCTCTCTCTGCCTTTTTCTCTCTCACCCCCCCTCTCTCTCTCTCTCTCAGTCTCTCTCTCTCTTTTTCTCTCTCTCCCTCTCTCTGCCTCTTTTTCTCTCTCCCTCCCCCCCTCTCTCTCTCTCTCTCTCTCTCTCTCTCTCTCTCTCTCTCTCTCTATCTCCCTCTCTCTGCCTTTTTTTCTCTCACCCTCCCCCCCCCCCCCTCTCTCTCTCTCTCAATCTCTCTCTCTTTCTCTCTCTCTCCCTCTCTCTGCCTCTTTTTTTCTCTCCCTCTCCCTCTCTCTGCCTCTCTTTCTCTCTCCCTCCCCCCCCCCCCTCTCTCTCTCTCTCTCTCTCTCTCTCTCTGCCTCTTTTTCTCTCTCCCTCCCCCCCTCTCTCTCTCTCTCTCTCTCTCTCAATCTCTCTCTCTCTCTTTCTCTCTCTCTCTCTCTCCCTCTCTCTGCCTCTTTTTCTCTCTCCCTCCCCCCCCCCCCCTCTCTCTCTCTCTCTCTCTCTCTCTCTCTCTCTCTTCTCTTTCTCTCTCTCTCTCTCTCCCTCTCTCTGCCTCTTTTTCTCTCTCCCTCCCCCCCCCCTCTCTCCCTCTCTCTCGTTCTCATTCCAACGCACATATCGCAATCCCTTCAAAAGAGTGTCCCTTCTTTTTATCACCTTTATTCCCTTACCCTTTAGCTAATGCACCGTTTCCTCTTAATGACCCATATATACAAGACGCCACTCCCCCGTCTCACATAATCAATGACATCCTTCATTGTGCTCCCTCCCCCCCACCCCACCCCCAACTCTCCTATACAAGAAGGTTCGATGTGAATTATATTCCCCTGCAGCATACTCAATCATAGATGTTTGATCGTGATGGGAGAACAATACCATGAAAAATTATGTTTTTCTTTTTCTTTTCCTTTTCCTTTGATATTGGTTAAAAATGAAGGGAGGTAAAAGTTATGAAAATAAGTTCTCTCTCTTTTTCTGCGTCTTGTGATCCTCCAGAGAGGAAATGAGATAAGGAGGAGGAAATAGAAGGGAGAGACAGACTGATCGAAGAGAAAAAAAAAAACAGTAGCCTACAGAGACAGAGAGTGGTGAGTGTGGAGGAAAGACAAAGATGAAATAATGATGAAAAGAGAAAACAGAGATAAAGTGAAAGATGTAAAAGGACAAAGTAGACGGAACACCTTTCCATCACATTTTTTCACTCCTCATGAAAAGGTCAGATGTTCATAGTTTCAGGTTAAATGCCAATGGACTGAAGGCTTTCCGGTGCTTCAGCTGTTCAAATATAAAGAAATAAATGTGTTTGTGTGTGTTGATAGATGGGTGCGTGTGTTCACACATAAAGAAGACTATATAGTAGCATGCGGATGGCTATACACAATCAACTTATTGCGAGTAAATATGTAATATAAACATTTATAAGACAGAAAAAATGTACTTATATCAAACACCATAGTAAAAAAACAAAATAGAAAAGGAAATACTAGATCTGAAAAAAACATTAATTGACTCCCATTACGAAATCAAAATCAGGCGTCACTTATTATAAAACTGCTTTTACCATATCAATTATAAGAACATGAATATTCAGCACAAACCCACACATTATTCAAATTCCCCAACATAACATGAATGTAAAATCATATACTATTAAATTTCCGATAAATATTGCAATCTGAATTCATAAAAAAGAATATTTCCTGCATTGTAGTAGCTTATCTGGAATTTCCTAACACGCCCCTTAGTTTTGCTTGTGATGTAAAGGTTTTATAGATACAGTACTTTTCGCTCTGATTTCATAATCTCTCTCTCTCTCTCTCTCTCACACACACACACACACATATCACAGATATATACATGTGCGTGTGTGTGTATATATATAGCTGCTATGCCTGTATCTGATATATGCTTCAGTCCCTCCTATTTTCTTGCTGCTTTGCTCAACAAGCACCTCTCTCTCTCTCTCTCTCTCTCTCTCTTTCTCTCTCTCTTTCTCTCTCTCTCTCTCTCTCTCTCTCTCTTTATCTCTCCCTCTCCCCCTCTCTCTCTCTCTCTCTCTCTCTCTCTCTCTCTCTCTCTCTCTCTCTCTCTCTCTCTCTCTCTCTCTCTCTCTCTCTCTTTCTTTCTTATGTACCGATATAGACACCGGTTAGAAAAGGGAATCAGATCAGTCTCGCGCGATCCGCCGCCCGTAACACGTTGTCCCGCTGTTCGGTGGTTGGATGAAAAGTCAATACTATACCGAGTCAGATGCAGATCAGATTCTGCTACTAGAGTGCTAAAAGAAGACATGTTAAGATAATTAAAGATTGCGGAAACTCGATAATGTCTCGTATGACACTAGATTCCAAAGAATTTTGATATTAAAAATCGCAAAAAAATGCATTTAAAGCGAATGAGCTTCAAACCACAGTTCTGCCATGTAGCATGAAACCATGTCATTCACAGTGACTGCAAGACGTAGTAAACATATTTTGGTGTATAAATAAATGTGCTACTTCCCAATTTACAGTTTTCTATAGCGGGAACATTTCTTATCTCATCCCTTCGCCCCCTCCCCACCTGAGCTGCGCAGGTCAAAATAGTGAGACCTTGTCTTATTTCGACTTTCGGTCCAGGTTCACAGATCAGCCTGTTGACAGTAAATAACTTCCATATACTACTCTCCTGCACTGGAATATGGAGGGATCACCATCGAAGTATAACAGTGAATAATACCAAACTAGACCAGACCCCCACTCCATCTGGAGTACGTGTACCCTTGGGAGTATATTCGCAATTCCCAGAGGGTAGGCCTACGAAGGGTTCTGAAATAACCCTAGTGTATAATGGACAACACACACTATGATTTAGAAATAGGCTAAATAGTGTACTTTTTTTCTGAGTAACCAAATAAAATAAATCATAAAGAATTATATAACACGGTAGTCGAGAGAAAAAGCGTATTGATTTGTACATTTGCGTAGCATCTGCTATATGGCAGACTTGAGTAACGGAATTGACCTTGTAGTAAATCCACATTAACACTCATACAGTGCATTCGCCTGTCTACATTTTTTACCCCTCCCCGCCAGAAACTCTAGACACG